TCTTCCGCTTGTTTTAGCCAGAGATGCATCCTCTTTCGGCATTGGTGTTGTATTGTCACACATAGATCCAGATGGCAAGGAAAAGCCAATAGCCTACGCATCGAAAACCCTTGACGTTCACCAAGTCCGATACAGCCAAATTGAGAAGGAAGCCCTTTCAGTAATATTTGGGGTAAAGAAGTTTCATCAGTATTTATATGGCAGGAAATTTATTCTCATAACTGATCACAAGCCGTTGGTCACAATCTTTAATCCCAGCAAGCATTTGTCAACAATGACTTCAAACAGACTCCAGCGTCGGGCTATAATATTGATGGCTTACAATTTTGATATTAAATATCGCTCAACCACAGCTCACGGAAACGCAGGCGCACTCTTACATCTTCCCATAAGCTCAGATAAGGAAGAGGAATGCTATAACATCATCGATATATCCTGTCCAATAAATGCCGATATCATCAACGAAAGTCTAAAAAGCGATACAATTTTGCAGAGAGTATACAACTTCGTATCAACTGGTTGGCCAGAACAACAGGATGATCCCGAAATACAACCTTACTTCAGCCGCAGATTTGCCTTAACGATCAACAACAAGCTGCTATGTCTCCATTCTGATGTCAACCCAATTATTATTCCTCGCAAGCTTCGAAGTAAAATTCTTATACGTCTTCACGACGGTCACTGGGGAATAGTTTGCATGAAAGAACTAGCACGTCAGCATGTTTGGTGTTCAGGTATTGACGACGACATAGCACAACTAACTAAGAGTTGCACCGTTTGCAAGGTAGGCAACCCAGCCCCGGTAAAAGAGTTTTAAAGCTGGTCAAAAGCTCCAAGTGCCTGGGAAAGGATACACATAGACTTTGCGGGTCCTATATTTGACTCAATGTGGCTAATATGCGTCGATGCTTTTTCTCAGCTCCCATTTATAACCCAAATGTCGTCAACTAGAACTGCAAATACAATATCAGCGCTCACAGTTATATTGGCAATCGAGGGTTACCCCAAAACAATTGTCAGTGATAATGGACCGCAACTTACTGCAGAAACCTTTAAGGTATTTTGCCTTCAACATGGAATTAACCACCTAACTACAGCTCCTTTTCACCCAGCATCAAATGGACTTGCTGAGCCTTCGACCAAACTTTAAAAACTTCTGTCGGCAAAAACATAAAAGACGGGTATTCAGTAAAAACAGCCGTTACGAAATACCTTAGTTCGTATCGTTTCACCCCGAACTCGGAAGGAAAAAGTCCTGCAGAACTTCTACATGGTCGCCCTGTGCGTACGATCTTAAGTCAACTTTTTGAAAAACAAACTGAAAGCCAGCATATCGAACCAAAGAAGTGTTCGCCGAACCAAAAAGTATTAGCCAAAAATTACGCCAGGGGAGAAAAGTGGATAAAAGCTGCCATCGATCGGTCCATAGGCCGTATGGTATTTATTCTTCGAACATCCACAGGTTTTATTTAGCGCCACATAAATAAGATTAAGCCGCGATCTGATCACGATGACTTCAGCAGCAGCTCCAAAGATGACAACACCCCGTTTTGGTGGATGCCCGACACTTCCAATCCACCAACAACTCCGCCAAGCCCAAGACATTAAAAACAGAAGCCATCTAGCCCATCACAGCCTCTCCAATCCACCTTAGCTTCCAATGAAGTACCAGCACCAATCCAGCTAGATGAACCTCAACTGTCACAGCCACGTCGATCTGGTATCCCCATCCGCAGCAGTATTCGTTTGCGCCAAGGTGTCAACCGTTTCCAACCCCCAGATTTCAGAAAGCGTAAAACTGTTAACAAAATGTAAATTTATGGGAGAGATGTGATATGTATCATAATCACGAAATCTTGGCCATTTGCTGTTTACTTTATCGATATTCTCTGTTATTATGTACACTGTAACATACCAAAAATACCACAGCTATACAGAGCCGAATAAAGTCGTTGGACATTAAATCTCAACCCGATCTGTCGTCTCCTTTTAATCGGAACACAACACTCTCCACGGCTTTAAAAAACAAATCCAATCATATGTGTGTATGTATGTTTCTTTGTTTACATTGCGAAATTTATTGTTTTGGTTTTGTTTGCTTTAGCAATACAAATTCCCGTAATTGTTTAAAAATTCTAGTCTTATACTAAAGAAATAACTTTAAAAGATTACTCCTTCGCTCCCAGGGTTCTTAATAATTGTCCTTGCTCTTCTCCATTGCTAACTTTAATTGGGCCCTATTATTGTCCTTGTTCTGCTATATTGCTAACTTTAATTGGGCCCTATTTTTGTTCTTTATCTTAAAAAAACTAAAAGACAAAACAAAAATGTTTTCATTTTTAACTACCCCTTTCTATCCCTTGCAGCCTTACCCCTAGTGTCATCTCTTCGGCGAAAGACACACGCTGCTCCCGCTCTCATAGACCTCCTGCGTTAAAATGCGCCGCAATTACCGAAAAAATCTTCAAAATTTTTTTAAATATTTTAACAGCATGTAAATAGCCGTGATCAATCAGTCGGACAAACTGTGTAAATTTTTTAATGAAAAAAAATCATATGTACTAGCGTGTTTAGGTCAAAAGCACTTCTTTTACTGCCTAAAGCAAAAATATCTGCAAAGATGGTTTGGTTTTCAAGAACTCTCTTTTGAGTTCTTTTTGTAGGTTTATTAAAAAATTTCAAAAAATCGGCACAGGAAAGCCGTGGTTTCCAAATGACTTTTATTTTGATCAAAAAAATAAAAATCAAAAATAATCATTATTTTTGTATTTTGTATTTGTATTTTTTTGTTTTTTGCTGAGGAATAATGATTATTTTTGTTTTTTTTCGTAAAATTCAAAAATAATCATTATTTCTGAGTTTTATTTTTTTGGTCAAAAATAATGATTATGATTTTAAAATAAAACTTACAATGATTACGGTCTTTTATATAAGCACCTTAGAAGTTATGGGCATTTAATATTACTGAATTTTATCCTTAAATTTTTTTTTGGAGCTTCTTGTAGCGATGGACACATCGAATTTTAGTGGGCACCCCTATGAAATGTTGAGTAAAAACGTGGCTGCTCTAGCTCTTACGGTTTGGCTTCTGCGCGTATCCCCTTAAGGGGGAAACATGCTCTAGAGGCTTAAAAAAATATAGTTTTCTTTGCATAAATGTCTACCCAAGCTATCCAAGAATGTGTCCTGAAAATATCAAAAGCAAACTTCAACTTTTTAAAGTTACAGGAGAAGTAGTAGTGAGCAAGCGGTGTACGACCGGCCGGACTTTGACGTTCGATTTTTCGGTTTTTCATTTTTTAAATTTTTCCTAATTGGCGGGAAAGATATGGAAAAAATAAAATAAATAATTAAAGTTCCTATCGAAACGAGACAAAATTTATTCGGGATTAAATTCTGTTCTAGTTGAATTTAAAAACCTAAAGAAAGTTATGATTAGCTCACTTTAAACAATCTAAAGTAAATTTTTTTTCCAAAGAAAATTATTGTTTTTAATTTGCTAAAAATTCTTGAATTTTTCACTTTTTGTTTAATTGTTTTGGTTTAATTAGAAGCTATACTATTGAAAATATACATTTTTTTTTGGGTTTTTTTGTATCAGATGGAATTAGCGACCTGTATCTTTTCCGCCGCACGACACATGCATATTTGAGGCGCCTCGGCGAAATACTTATATCAGGCATAAAATGACATATATTTTAACGAACAAGTTTGGGAAGACCGTTGAAATGTATAACAACAAAACCTGAATTTAAATCAGCGGTCGGCACACACATACCATCACAAGTTTGCCTTGCAATATTGTGAGTGTAACAAACACGAAGCTTGCGCGCGGCGTGCTGAAACATGACGTTTCTCTGCTTTGCACTGAGATCCTCTGCCGCACCAACAAACAAGAAAGGAAGTTAACTTCGGCAAGCCGAAGATTGTAGTTATATTTATTAAATTTAAAAATACAAAAAAAGGTATTCCCAATAGTATATATGTCAGAAAACACCGAAGCTATAATTTGTTTCATATTATTTTCCCACCAATTTTCCGATCGTTCCTATGGCAGCTATATGATATAGTCGTCCGATTTTGATAAAATTTAATTCGAAATTCAAAACTAATTAAAAAATGTTATTTCAAAGCGTAGAATGTTATATGTTAAAAAACACCGAAGCTATAATTTGTATCATATTATTTTCTTACCAATTTTCCGATCGTTCCTATGGCAGCTATATGATATAGTTGTCCGATTATGATAAAATTAAATTCGAATTTCGGAACTAATTAAAGAATGTTATTTTCAGGCCTAGGAAGTTATATGTTAAAAAACACCAAAGATATAATTTTTAAAATTTTTTTTTCCGATTATTCCTATAGGAGCTATAAGATATAGTTGTCCGATCCGGCTGGTTCCGACATATATACTACCTGCAAAAGATATAAGACTTTTGGAAAAGTTGGAAACTGAGAGACTAGTTTGCGTAGAAACGGACGGACAGACGGACATGGCTAGATCGACTCGTCTAGTCATGCTGATCAAGAATATATATACTTTATGGGGTCGGAAACGACTCCTTCATTGCGTTGCAAACTTCTGACTGAAATTAATATACCCTCTGCAAGGGTATAAAAAGCGCGCCGAAGCTGAGAAAAAAGTGACCCAAAGACCCATGCCGAAGACACACGAACATCTACGTTATACGTGAGCGAGCAGAGGATGGGCAGAACACTTCCCTATGCTCACTTAACAGGTCGCTGCCGACCGCTGATTTAAATGTTAAGTTAGCTCGGGCAGCCACGGGAAACTTAGTCAAGTTTGTTGATCAAGTTCATAATGGCTTTGTATAATTGTAATTCCTTTGGGGTAACATGAAATGACCGCCAGTGCTTACGATTGGAATCGTAGTCTCTGGCTGCTATAAACTATGCCTAGCTGCATTATATTTTATGCAAAAAAAAAGTGAAAGTAAATCAGTCAGACTAATTAAACCTTGTCATCCATCCTTTAGACTGATGCTCAAAGCACAAGCGGGAGGACTAATGCCGTTCGCAACGTGGAGGTGTTTAACGACGAAAACACTGGGACGAAAATACCGCGGCCTATATCCGAGGTGGAAGTAAAGTCTAGCTTGCGTTCGATCATCGACGCAACTCGCGGACAGGAGAATATAAAGGAACCTGTAGCCTGGAACAAGGCAAATGCAAAACGCCACAAAAATGGCAAGATCTTTTGGAGAAACACCTCTTCGGGCATGGGCTTCGACATACACTTAGATGAACAACTAATGCCACCCATCACAAATTACGAGGCCCGCCTGGAGCAGCCTTTCAAGGTCCCGACAAACTTTGTGTCCAAAAACAAACCTCAGGAGCCCTGGGTGACCCCAGTTACCATAGAAGACGAGCCGAATGCAAATGGTCTGCCTTGCTACAATAAGTGCCTCCTTTATCCGCGTCCCAATCTCGAATTCTCCCCCGAGGAGTACCGTGCCTACGCCCATTTGAAACGCGAGAATCTACAGCATCCGTATGTCCAGCTAAACGATGAGTGGTGGGGCGCTGGCCGGGTCCTTAAAGGAATTCGCTGTTACCCGAATTTCGCTAGGTCTTCGAAGCCGCAGCCGCGCGACGAGTTAGACAACTTTTGGAAGCCCCCGCCGGTGCCTGGCCTTCAGGTTGTCTTTAACAATCTCTACAACGACGAGGAGCAGCAGGAATACCAAACAGAGGAGCTGTTGACATCCAAGTGGCTACAAACTCGTAATGTGACAGTTCATGGTGCCTTCGACATGGAAGAAACCGTGTGTTTGCCTGGTAACAAGATGCCACGGCGAAAAAGTTTTTTCCCCTCTTCTTCCAGAAAATCCATGATGCCGCACAGGGTTTCCTTTGTTCAGGAGGAGAATGAGGAAGAAGCTACAGTGGTCGTAAGAGAATCGTCTTTGTCGCCGCCACCTGTTATATCCAAGTCGCCTGGTCCATCTGAGCAGAAAGCAGAACCAGAAATAAAAATGTTTAAGGATTCTATCGAATATTTCGATAACCATTTTGCGGTACCAGCTCCTCCTGTACGTAAGATAGAGATCTATCAAGACTCAGAAGAGCCGCAGCCAACAACAAATAATAAGTCACTAAATGTCGAGCCGCTTTTTGACGTGAATGAGACTTGCTCCACGCAAATTTTCAACATGTTCATTGAGTCACAGGCTGTTAGTACGCCAATGGGCACACAGAAGCAAGCACCATCTCGTCATTTTGGAACCATTCTCAGAGAACTAGCACCACCAGAGGACACAGTTTCTGCTCCTGCCGTCGAATCTCCAGTAGAGTTACGGAAGCAGCTATCCACCATACTAGAGACCTCTGAGCATGCCACTCAAAGCTTGGCGACTAGCGGCGCTGCCACCAAGTCGACCATTACCTCATCATTTTCGCCCGGATCAAACACTTATTCGAAAGTTCTCAGCAAGAATGAAGAGGGCACTCCTGGACAAATGCGCGTGCATCGAGGAGTTGGTCTAGGGCCTTCAGCGGTCGTCGTGGAACCGGAAAAACAGGGTGGCGACAATTTTACCCGTCGCGAGTTATGGGAACCCAATGTTCCTAGCGTGGCGATGCTAAAGTCCCTGCGCGTCCAGGAGGATAAGACAGAGACTATCCCCAGACCTTTGGCGTGCTTCCAGGAAGACAAAACTGAAACGTTGCCACGAGCGCCACACGCTCCGGTCTGTTTCCAGGAAGATAAAACCGAAACGCTGCCACAAATTCCATCTGCTATTCCTGAGATGTCTATACTTCAGCACTCGGTGGTTGTTGGAAAATGTTTATCCCCACCACAAATACCTACTCTGGATGATGAAAACGACTTGTGTGTATTATTTGGAAAGACACCGCTGAAGACTAATACTATTGGCTCTCCAAAACGAAATTCTGACCAAGCCGCTCCCCATTTTTATAAGGTGCTAAAAGGCACACAGAATGCAATAACCTCCTTTGCTGTGGCCAGCAATACCGCAGCTACGCCAAGAAACGGAAAGCTGGAGGATTCCATTATGACCAACCTTTCCTTTGTGCCCGAGGCACGGCCTAAGGCCAAGTCAGAAACGGAGGCCGTTCTAGATAAGTTTGAAATCTTTCTCGACGAGACGCAACCAGAGGTAACTGATCCAAAAACAGTATCATCAATTGGATCCAGTTTTGTTTTGGACTGCACCCTGCCGAAAACGCAACATCCAGTACATAAGGATCCAGTTAAAAACCAGGAAACTATTGGGCAGTCCCACATGATTGCTTCGTTCATGAAGGATTGCACAGAATTAAGCAGCTGCCCTCCATCGGTGCCAACCCCGATTGTGGCAACTAATCCCAAATGTAATTCGAATAAAGTCATGTTTTCCACCGACTTCATGAATGAATCTATTAGAAAACCTACGCCGAACGACGAATTGAGCTATTCAAAGCCACCTGACAACTTTTTTGAGCTGAACGCAGCCACAGAGATGTTTGCTACCAATATTAGCATGATTAAAAATTCTACGCTTCTCGTCCCGCCTGTAGTATTAAACCCTTCTGCTGGAGCAAGGGAAGTATCGGACTTAAGCATTTACTACAAAACAACACCATTAACGCCGAAGCAGTCGCATCATTCCTGGTCGCAGTCTGATTTAGAAACATCTCCGCGGGAGCAATATGTCCACCCAAAGTCGATCGCAGATCTCTCTGTGTTAAACGATACATTGGCCGACGCCAATAGGAACCCTTTCAACGTAGAGCTTATCAGCTCATTGCTGGAATCAATAGACTTCACCATGTACATCGAGAAGCTCCCCCACTGTCAGCTGGTGGGTCACGTCAAGCGACTACATCCAAACACCCAGCTGGAGGTACAAAACGAGAAGTTCGAGGTGTCCAAGTTGATAGGCAAGGGAGCTTACGGTTCAGTTTATGCAGGACGGAATGTCGAGTCTGGCAGGAAGGTCGCTTTCAAGCAGGAACGTCCAACCAACTACTGGGAGTTCTACATATGCCTGGAGATTCATAGCCGTTTAACAAGTGAGCAAATGGTAAGGTTCAAATGGTAACATAACCCAACATGAAATTGTTCGATATAAGAAGACTCAGTATTTATCCCTGATCATCAGGGATTGTATATGTAGATTGGGTCGATTTAGGTAATCTTAAATTGACTAGATCGGACGGTTCCAGTTTTCACTTGAAAGTGAATTGCTAGGATTTTAATTTTTAAATACATTATACAATTAACCTTGATGCTGGTTTAAAAACCAATCGCCATACTTTTTCAATTTAAGACATTGGTAGTACTTTTCGATTTCCATATATAGAGCTACAGAATACAGAAGAAAAAGGGTGGTCGAGGTCCACAAAAACAATTAAAATATAATTAGCTTGTAAAGATTTCGGAAAGAATTTTTAATCAAATAATTTTCGAATACTTGGCGGAAAGTTTTTGTGTGATTTTTTGGATTTTATAATGTAATAACAGAGGGAATAAAAATTCCGTGAGGGTGTTTCGGAAGTGTCAAGTAGAACAGGTCTTTGACGTTTGATTTTTTCTGATTCTTTTGGATGTGAAAACTTTAACAAGACCAGTGACACAGTGTTACACAATGGGATCTTTATTTATTTTGGGTCATTTGCCAGAGTTCCATAGACTGGTTTCAACATCATGGCAAACAGTTTACAGACGCGTCTTAACCATGAATTAGAAGCGACCCCAAATTGTGCCAAAATTCGAATGCTTTTTTTTGCCATTCCCTTCTTGTTAATGTTAAACATTTTGTTTTGTTTCTTACGGCATACCCGCTTAGACCTAGATTTAAAGTTTTTAAAATGCAGCCTCCTCAAGTTTCCCAATTTTTAGCTATTGCGCTTTGCCCATTGTGACGTTAAAGTTTTTCTATCTCTCTGTCTCGTTCTGACCTGATTACAGCCGAATGAAGACCGTATACTAACAAAGGTACAACACTTGATTAAGTTTCTTGAGTTTTATTTTTACCGTTTGTTTATAGATTTTTTTTTAGTGCTACTGCTTACTGACATGAGTTCTAATTTCACCATTAAAAGCTTAAGTATATTTTCAAGCAATAACACTTTTTTCGATGGCTTTAAGATTTTTATTATTTTGCGTAGGAATTTACTGCAACGTGCTAGCGTGGCAGAGCAGTGGATTAGGGAGGGTCTTAAGTAAAATTGCATCGTTAAATTGTTTTGTCTTGATTCTAGAATCCATAGTTTATGGCTTCGGAAATGCTTTCTACTTTTAACATACTTTTGTTTTAAGAGCAACGGTTTTAAAGCAAACCCTCACATTTTTTGGTAAAAGTCATTGATTGTTTTTGTTGTGTTCTTGCTCAACGTCATAAAAACTTTGTTTTTGGTTCAGTTAGGCTAATAAATTGCAACAAAATGTATTTTTTTAAAAACTTCTGATATCAACCAAAAATGTCTATGAAAATGTATGTGTACATACTACATTTTTAAAACTCTTTTTCATTTTCTCTTTTTTAATACTGCAATATTTAGCTGAAGCAGGCCGAATGATTAAAGATCTTTACCGATCGATTCTATAATCATTTTCGTCAGTTTTCTTATCTCTTCAAGGGCTGTTTTAGTTTAATATCAGAAGTTTTTGTTTTAAACGATATCGTGTTTTTTCTAAGTCTAACTTATTTTGTTAAATAAAAGTTCAAACTTGCCTTGGTGTAAAAAAAAATTGAAACAGGAAAAAATTAAAAGGATTTGTTAAGACCTCGTAAAAAAAAGATCTCGCTAGTGCTTGCTGTCAGAAAATAACCCATCATAAGCTGACTCAATGCGTGCCTTAGGTTTGTTTCCTGCTCAACCGTTGACAGATTTTGTTCGCTCGGTCGGGTCATGTGTTGACTGTAGACCCTTTAGAAAGAAATACTCGGCAAAAGGTCTTTTGCGATTGTATGTTTGTATAGATCGGTAAACATATTTTATGGGCAGCCTTAATGGTTTTCAGGTGTCATCCTTTCTTACTACTCAGTGGAAGAGGAAAACTAAAATGTTTTTATTTGATTTATGATCGGTATAATTCATTTATTGCATTGATACATATTTTCAATAATTTTGTTATATCATTTAACAAAAACAACTATATTTTAAGGTATATGAATATTAATTCCCAACATATTAGTCTTTTATTTCTCATCGTACATTATTGTACGCGTGCAAATTAAGTTTCTCACTAGTGAATTGATTAAAAAAATTTATTTTTATTTTTAACAATCACTTATTCACTATTACAATTTTACAATAGGTCGAACTTATTTAATTCACTGCTCTTGTATTTATTCTCGAATATTTGTTCTGCTCGATTCGGATCTCAAAAACGGACTGCCTGATCTCTAGTTCAATGATCAATAATCAAACCTCGGCTTAAGAGATTTTATCCCCAAAAATTGATAAAGAGAATGACTCAAGAGAGTCGGAAAATAGGATGATGCAATTTGCCAATTAAATTCGAAGTCCAATCTTGGCCGGAAATTGGTGTTTACATTAGCGGAGTTTAGGGACCGCTTTGGGGATCTTTTTGTTTACGTTAGCGGACTCGGGACTCGCTTTGGGGATCTTTTGTTTACGTTAGCGGACTCAGGGCTCGCTTGGGTCTCCGATTGTTTACAATATCGGTTTGGATGTTTACAGCATCCGTTTGATTCGGACTGCGTGAAATTGATCTGGGTGGGAATGATTTGGAGGCCTGCTTGGCAGAAATAGCTGACCACGGATTTATCTCGGGTCTGTCAGAGTTCTTTGGAAATTAGCTCTCGGCTCAAAGTTGTTTATAAATTGGGTAAGAGCCCCTAAATAATGTGTCATATAACTCCCCCCATTCTAAATTGAATCGTCCCGATTCATTGGAACTGTTGGGTATATTGAATGTAATTGATTGGTTAATTCGACAATGATATTTTCTTCTAGGGTATTTTCGTTGTCGGGTGTATTATTTATCTCAATATCGGAAATATTGCTTTCTGGTTCGATTTCTATACGAATTTGCCATGGTTTAAATATTAAAAATTTTCTGAATTTGATTATAATCATAATAATTAAATATATTAATGCTAATATGATTAATATTAACGTAACTGGTATTTGAGTTTGTTTAATTTGAATAAATGGATTTAGTACGTTAATATTATCAAATGAGAGTTCCGAATCATTAGATATAATATATTCGGATATTAAAAAATCTGTATATTTTCGAGCTGTGATGTATTCCAATATCTTATTGTCTACATTGGTGTAGGAAATATTATTAATTATAGAGGTGCCATTAAAAGTAATTAAATATGACCCATTTAAATGAGTGTCATTAACCGTATTTTCTCCATTTACAAAAATGGCTCCATCTTGGATTACATCTACTTTTTTATTTTTTTCTCTGATTTTGTTACAAAAAAATTTTTCTCCATTTAGTAATCTGGTGAAACAAGAACCTTCTGGGTTAAGTGTGCAATAATTGTTAAATATTTCTGTCTTAAAATTAGACATTACATAGTACTTATTTCTACATTTTGCGACGTGATTATCAATTAATAATTTTCCATCATCATGTGAAATGGATCTTGAATTGTAAACGTCACAGCGATCGGTAATAATAGGGTATTTTTTGTAAATTATAATAAGATCTTGATGCAAAGCGATTTTAAATTCAGATATATCTAAAAGGTCTGTTATAACTACAGGTCTATTTTCGTGTTTATAAATTTCTTGTATATCGTCGTTGTTTAGAATTTTAGTATTAAATACATCGATTTTGGCGAGTGTAATTGTGTCCATTAAATTCATAAGATCGTAAGTAAGCAAACGCAAACGATATTTTCTAAGCGGAATTTCTTGATCTTTAAAGGCTGTTTTGAATTCTTCAGATAAAGATTTTATCTCTTTAAATATTTTAGAATTAATAACGTATTGATCGTTATTATTTTGTATTAAATCATCGATTTTATTTTGAACAGTTATGAAATCATCATGATCTGGTGTTCCCGCTATCCATTTCCAAATAGTGCCTATTTCATTAATGCCTCTTTTCGATCTACTGGGTATAATTTGGGAGATAAGTATTTGGATAATTTTTAAATCGTGGGATATTTCCCAAAGAAAATTGTTGCTGTCGTGACTCTTCAGAAATTCTGTTTCAAGATTAATTATATCTCTATAAAGACTTATATTAGTTATATGAAATAAGTCTGCGTATGATTCATAAATAAGAACATCTTTGGTATCCTTGTAAAGAAGGAAATCATGGTTCGTGTAATCCATAATTTCGGATTTGGTTGTAGCTACCAGCAGTAATAAGTACATTATTGAAATCATTATCTGTAATTTGAAACAAATTATTTTATATTATCTTTATGAATCGTACGGTTTCTGTTATTTATAATAACTTTATTAGGGAGATTTTCCTTAACTACTTGTTTTTTGTATCTAGAATTTAGCTTGTTTCTTTCCCCATGTTTCTTTTCGTAAATTACCTCTCCTACGTGATAATTCTTATTTTGTCTATCTTTATTGTGGGAATGCAACATTTTCTCTTGAGCTTGTTGCAATAATTTGGGCATATCTTCGTGTTTGATTTTATTAAATAGTATGTCAAAAGGTCGTTGGTTGGTTATTGAGTGAATTGTTAAATTATATTTTTGTGCTGCTTTAATAATAATTTCGGAATAGTCAACTAAATTAAGCTCATCTTTAATGCAGCGAGCAATTTCTGTTAAAGTAGAGTGTGCCCTTTCTATTTGTCCGTTGGACGTACTTTGTCGAGGATCTGCAAAGAATAGAGATATCCCATTTCTTTGAGCAAAGGATTTGAATTGGGATGAAGAGAAACTTGGTTCGTTATCTATCATCAAAGATTTGGCTAATGGAAATTGTTGTAAAATTTCTGAAACTTTATTTTCTATATTTAGTTTGTTAGGGATTTCTTTTACGACCAAATATTTCGAATAGGAATCTATACAAGTAATGAATATAAGATTTTGGGCGTAATATATGTCAAGATGCAAATTTTCACCTT